TCTCTACTTACCCCTCCCCTCCCAGCCATTCTTTGCCTGCCCGCCCGGGCTCCTTAGGGCCCCAACAGGAAGCAGTTGTTGGAGCTAAGCAGTCACCACGAGAAAGAGTGGGCAAAACAGCTCAGTTCAAATTGGATCTGACTGAGAAGGAGGCTCAGCAGAAGCACCTCACTGAGGACTATGAGCATAGGCTTTCCAAGCAGAGGGAAGACTTACTGGAGTGCAAGGCCAGGTACTGGCACCTGGAGGCTCAGTGGACTGAGATGGTCAGTCAGTTCCAGGCCATGATGCAGTCTCACTGGAACAAGGCCCTCTGGCTCTTCGCCACCAGCGGCGCTTTCCTCCAGCCTTTGCCCAAAGCCCCCCACCAGGAGGCTGAAGCAGACCCCAAGTCGGAATTTCTGTCCCCCTCCAACCCACACAAAAAGACCTCAAAGGGGGAGACTCTGCAGCGACAGAAACATTCATTGCACGTATCCATCCCAGGGGCCGTAGTTTGAGGACCTCTGATTTAGTGCAATGTAAAAAATGCAAATAATTTTTCTGCGGACCACCGAAATTTTCTTGCAGACCACCAGTGGTCTACAGATCACCAGTTAGTGACTGCTATTCCAGAGAGACCCGCCAGGACAGTGGCCCCAACTTTTGGGGCACCAGGGAGCAATTCCATGGAGTGAGGCTTTTCTACAGACGGAAGGGGGCATAGTGTTGCTTGCTGCCTGCATCCCGTGGATGGGGCTTTGCTTGTTTACACGGCCTTGTTGCTGGCATGCCACAGACTGGTACCAGTCCATGGACGTGGGGACCCCTGCACCCATCCAAAGGACAAAACCTGTATGGTGTTATCACAACACAAACTCGCCTTTCAAAGCTGCACGCACGAGTATAAAAGGCAGAGTTTGTCTTCTTGGTACAGGTAGTCCTCATTAAGCGACCGTTTGCAGTTATGACAGTGATAAAAAAGCAACGTTGCCACCCACATCTGCATTTATGACCTTCGCAGATCCGCAAAGGAAAAGAAAAGCTAAAAGAAGGTTATAAGCACAGTTGTGGCTTTATGTTCAGTTTGCTGAACAACTAACCTGCCGGTCCCAACTGTGGTCACTTAATGAGGACTACCTGCATATGTTTCTTCATTCAATTGCTCCTGCCTTACGTTTGGTGACTAGCTGGACGCCGAGTGACATTACAGACACGGTACTTCCTCTTCATTTGTCCACAGTGAGTAACTTCCACTTTCAAACCTAGTGAAAGAGAAGATTAAGTTTACAGGGAATTGTAGTGTTAGTTTCATTCAAAGCTGCCTCCTTCCTCCATTCTGTTTTAGTTTATAAGATTCTCCATTAAAATTACAATACAGTAGCATTTAATGAACAGAAGTTGTAAGGTTTTGATTTCAACAATTACAAGTACTTATTCTAGTCAGAGATTCATTCTTGCACGAAACCCTGAAATTACAAGATTTTCTTTTATTAGAATACTTCACAAAAGAACGACTCCTTAATCTTGCTTATATTGAACATGTTTTCCTCAATACATACATAATGGCAATTATTATTAGTGCACTAAAACTGGAATATGACAGCAAAGTTATGGGATTCCATCAGCTGATAGAATTAAATATTTAAAAAAATCTTTTCAGACTTGCTCGTTTTATAATCAGTCCTCTACAGATTTCAAAAAATGCTTATTCTGGAATTCATGTTGCTGATGAAGTGTTTCATTATAAACAAGAAATAACTAAGCAACTCCCCTCAGGGTTCATTTTGGACTGAGAAGGTAAATAAATCCCCCAAATAAATAAATACCAGTTTTTTTTAAAAAAAAATACACAGTCCAATTCCTAATATACTTATTTTTTTGTGGGTGGGGGAGAGATCAGAGGTATCAGCCTCCAATGATACTTTTCCAAGAAAATACGCTTGTGAAAAAAATCAACAGGAATGTGCCACAAGCTTTCTAAACATCATCAGTCCACAGAATCAGACAGACGATAAAAAAGCCTTTCCAACTTGGAAACAACTTAATCTTAATTTTTAATTTACCGCATTTTTTGAACTATAAGACACACCAAGATTTCAAAGAGGTAAGTAAGAAAAAACGTTTTTCTTCTCTCCGGCCCCCAGGAGCACTCCGCAGCCTTCAGTAGGGCTGGGGGAAGGCAAAAACGCCTCCATTTTTGCGAGAAACGGGCGGAAAATGGGTCATTTTTTGCAAAAATGGGGGCATTTTGCCTTCCCCCAGCTCTGCTGAATCTTGCAGAGTGCTTCTGGGGGCTGGGGGAAGACAAACACACCTTCATTTTTCTGAAAAATGGCCCATTTTTTGCTCATTTTTCGCAAAAATGGGGGCATTTTTGCCTCCCTCGAGCCCTGCTGAAGACTGCAGAGTGTTTCTGGGGGCTGGGGGAAGACAAAAACGCCTCATTCTTTGCCCATTTTTCACAAAAATGGAATGTGGGAGCGAGGCTTCTGGAGACCAAAAATGGCTGTATTTGGTGTATAAGACGCACCAACATTTGTACACTCTTTTAGGGGGTAGGGGGGTCTTATACTCTGAAAAATACGGTAATCCAGTACCAGCACTCCTCTTACCAGTTAAAAAGAAAGAGATGGAACACAAATTAATGGAGAAAAAGAAAATAAAGGCAATCATGAAGGGTAATAATCAGGAATATTCCTACATTTCTGGTTGATATGCATGTGATGGTGGTGGGCAGAACAGGGAATGACTGACATGAGGTAATGCTTTTTCACACATATGATCCTCTACTATCTACCTCTGTTCACTTATTTTCACACAGAGGCCTTCCCATTCAAGCAGATATACCCCTAATCCGAGCCGTGTGGCACAGTGGTTAGAATGAAGTATTGCAGGCTGACTCTGCCCACAGTTTGGAGTTTAATCCTGACAGGGTTCAAGGCTGACTGAGTTTTTCATCCTTCCAAGGTCGGTAATATGAGGATCCAGATTGTTGTAAGGGGGGGGGGGGGGGGACAGGTCAATATGACATTGTAAACCACTCAGTGTGTGCTGCAAAACACTACGGGGTAGGGGTTGCCACAAAGAAGAGGGAGTCAAACTATTCTCCAAAGCACCTGAAGGCAAAACAAGAAGCATTGTGTAGAAACTAATAAAGGAAAGAAGCAACTTAGAACTGAGGAGAAATTTCCTGACAGTTAGAACAATTAATCAGTGGAACAACTTGCCTCCAGAAGTTGTGAATGCCCCAACACTGGAAATGTTTAAGAAGATGTTGGATAGCCATTTGTCTGAAAAGGTATAGGGTTTCCTGCCTAGGCAGGGAGTTGGACTAGAAGACCTCCAAGGTCCCTTCCAACTCTACTATTGTATTCTTGTATTCTAGTATATAGTCTAAATGCTATTCCTATTGCTAATTTTTCCCATTGCCAAAATGTGTAAGCTTCCACTGCTTAAGTTGGAAGGAAGAAAAGCAGAAGCTTGGAAACTTGGAAAATCTCCATTGCTGTACTAAAACTATTCCTATATTGAGTCTGTCACCTGCACCTCTATAACTGTCTGGTTTGGTTCTGCAACCCAACAAGACAGACACAGACTTCAATGGATAATTAGAACTGCAGAAAAAACAATTGCTGCCAACCTGCCTTCCATCGAGGACGTGTATACTGCACGGGTCAAAAAGCAGGCTTTGAAAATATTTACGCATCCTGGACATAAATTGTTTCAACTCCTACCCTCAAAACGACGCTATAGGGCACTGCACACCAGAACAACTAGGCACAAGGACAGTTTTCTCCCCCAATGCCATCACTCTGCTGAACAAATAATTCCCTCAACATTGTCACACTATTTACTAAGTCTGCATCTTCTTATCATTCCTATCACCCATCTCCTCCCACTATGATTGCATGGCTGTAACTTTGTTGCTTGTATCCTTATGATTTATATTGATTGTTTCCTAGTATGATTTGATTGCTTATTTGTACCTGATGACTATCGTTAAGTGTTGCACCATATGATTCTTGATGAATGTATCTTTTTATGTACACTGAGAGCATATGCACCAAAAACAAATTCCTTGTGTGTCCAATCACATTTGGCCAATAAAGAATTCTATTCTATTCTATTGTATATATAAGAGGAAAACCTAGAAAAAGCTGGTGTAAATCTTGACGCCTTGGGTGGGCAAAGGGCATCTTTCCCACTCACCCCCTTCTTTGCAAAGAGAAAGCTGTGGTTCTCCCCAGATCCTGGCTATTCTTTCCCAAGCTCTTGCCATGGCACTAAGAATCAGAAGTGATTTTGTTCACACTCTCTTCCTTCTCCTTCCACTTCATAGCCCTCGACATGCAATTGCAATGGAGTTTGCCCATTACGGTTGTATGTTGTGATGGTCATAAATCCGGTCACTCACAGGATTAACCCGACTTTATGACTCCCCCCCCAGGCGTCATTAAATGAACCCTGTGGTCAGTCAGTGAACCAGTTGCTTCCTGTGACATGGTTTTTGCCCAAAACTGAAAGCAACTTCCATTAATCGGCAAAGCCATCATGAAACGTCATCCCATGACTGGGACAACTACAAAGGGCTGAAAATGCAGCTGTGTTGCAGGTGCCTGAAGTGCATTCAAGTGACTGTGAGGAAGGAAGAACTGTCATAAATTTAGAACTGGGTCATCATTTCCTTTTTCCAGGTAAGTCATTACTCTGAGCGGTCATTAAGTACCAAGGATTACCTGCATTCAACAGTTCAGGTTTTATACAAGTTTAACACCAAGCAGAAATCTCAGCTGGAATGCTATAAAAGGTAAAGGTACGCTTCGGACATATGTGCTAATCGTTCCCGAATCTAGGGGGCAGTGCTCATCTCCGTTTCGAAGCTGAGAGCCAGCGCTGTCCGAAGACATCTCCGTGGTCATGTGGCCGACATGACTAAATGTCGAAGGCTCATGGAACACTGTTACCTTCCCACCAAAGGTGGTCCCTATTTTTCTACTTGCATTTTTTACATGCTTTCAAACTGCTAGGTTGGAAGAAGCTGGGACAAGTAATGGGAGCTCAATCTGTTATGCGGCACTAGGGCTACGAACCACCAAACTGCCGACCTTTCTGATCAACAAGCTCAGCAACTTAGCCACTGAGCCCTTAATGTTGTTTCTTGGCAATTGCCAGGTAAATCTCTACCGTTTTCTCCATAATTCCCCCTGCCTTTCTGATTTACCTTTTATTTCCTTTGTGAACCTCACCCTCTGAGAGTCGGTCAGGGGCTTTGGCTGCTCGTCGATGTTCCGGATGTCCAGCACTTCACACATGAATTCAATCACCGGTTGGGCCTTGTAGAACGCCGTGGCAGACACTAAACCGAGAAAGGAGCACGTAAATCCCAACCGCAATTGTTTCTTGAAACTAACCAGTCCACAGCTAGAATTCATCTTTTTTTTAATTACAAGTTCTACAAAAATCTCTTTTTTTTCCAAAAATAAGATATGACATTTGAGTCTCTTTAAGAAATCCAAATTTTACGTTGCTCCCATGGGATTGTAACACACACACAAAAACACACACAACTTGGTTAGCAGATCAAAAATCAAGAACTTTACCCCTGAATCACTCTAAAATACCTATGAAAAGAATTATGAGCCTTCCAAAGAACACAAAATATTACTGAAGTTGTTTAATTAAATGTTTTTCCCTCTCTGGTCTTTTCATAAATTCCTCCCAAATATTTTTCAACGAGACCTTTCACGAGCTGTCAAACAACTTTGCATTATCAAAATAAAACATTGCAATATAACCTGAAATATGAGGGGAAAGGAGCAGTGGAGCATCCTCTCATCCAGCATTATCCAGACGATTTCGCTCATTGGGAATGATGGAAATGGACATCTGTCTAACAGTCATGCTCAACCTCAGCAGCGTTAAGATGTGTGGACTTCAACTCCCAGAATTCCCTAGAATTCCCCAGGATGGAGTTCACACATGTTAAAATTCTGGAGTTTGAGTAATACATCTGGCCCATATTAGATGAAAGATGGCTGTACAGAACACTGAGCTTTGCATAGACTCTTACTGAGAGATACAGGTAGCCCTCAACTTACAATAGTCTGTTTAGTGACCGTTACAACGGCACTGAAAATAATGAACTTATAACCATTTTTCACACTTATGACCATTGCAGCATTGCCAGGGCCACATGATTTACATTCAAATGCTTGACAACTGACTCATATTTATGATGGTTACAGCATCCCGGGGTCGTGTGGTCCTCTTTTGCATCCTTCTGACAAGCAAAGTCAATGAGTAAACCCGATTCACTTTACGACTGTGTTACTAATTTGACACCCCCAGTGATTCATTTAACAAACGGAGCAAGAAAAGTTGTAAAATGGGGCGGAAGTCATTCAACAGATTTCTCACTTAGCAACATAAATTTTGGGCTCAACTGTGGTCATACGTTGAGGACTACCTGTAGGTATGACTTCAAACTGAGAGGTGTAAGGATTATTACCATCTATGTTGAGCATCATCTTCCACATGGCAGGCCTGACAGACTGATGGAAGCCAAACCAGACCTCCCGACCTCCTCCCAGTGGGTGATAGTATCCTTCAGGGGGAGAGAAGAAGGAACGCCCCACTGGAGTGTACCTGGGAAGAGAAACAAGGAACTATATTACATGCTCATGAAAG